AAATGTAGAAGGTGATGTTGAAACAATGTGTTCAGGAAAAAGGGGGAATGATCCAAAGAGGTGAGGAGAAACAATTACTTAGGAATTAATGTCATGGCTTACAAAGGAAAAGTTAACTAAAACTAGGTGATAGGAAAATTATGCTAAAATCATCTGAGATCTCGAGAGCAAGGACTTCAGACACCCTTTTCCAGGGAATGAGGCTGGGAATACAGGAATGCAGTAGCCAAAATCTCTGACCTCAGCCAAAATGGTCTAAGTGCTGTACAGCTGACTTCAATGGGAGTGGCCAGAAGAGCTGTGGGTGCTATTTCTCCAATCTCTTTTAGCAGGGAGGAGGATTAGCTCGTTTCTAAGATTGATTGTTACTAATTTTTTTCTGGTTTCCGTCCCTACAGTGGAAAACAACAGGAAGTGTTTCTGATGCACATACAGGTGCAGCAGTATCAGCTATTGCTCTTTTCAAAGTGTTCTTTTTTTTACCTCCAGGTGAAAATGAGAAAATGCAAACTTAAAGGACTTTTACATACTGCAAACTCAGCATTTTGAATGTGATTGTGAAGAGGATAACTACATTGTCAAGCAGTGAATAAAGTATATTCATATAAAATCATTTTAAAAACAAGCTTAACGTTTAAAACCACATAGTTTTATATTCTTAAGTGCAACGAAGTTGGCATCCAGATCTACCTTGTTGTTTAACCTATGGCAGACTGTTCATCTGGTTTCTTTAGGCTGGGAAAGATTTGAAGGCTTCATTCTTACTCCAGTTGTGTGAGCAATGAGCTGCTGTCCCAGGACCGGGCTGAGTGAGGCTTTGTGCACGTGCGTCCTCTCGTGTAAGTAGCAAGGAGTCCTTTGGATGGAGGATGATTGGAGGTGTCAACTTAAACTTCTGCTGTATTTTATTTTGTTTCTCTGCACGTTTTGGGAAGTTCTCTGGAGAAATAACTCATTCTCCATGAGATGAAGCGCTCTCCAGTCTGCTTTGCAAGGCAGACGCAGGGAGATTGTTTCTATCCAAGGATGTATTTTTTGCCTTGAATTTTTTTGGCTATGTTGCAAGTGACCAAGGCTCCAGTGCTCGTTCCTGACAAAGGAGTGTAACTGTGGCTGCAGTGGTAACTGCAGGGTGTGAGATCCAGAAGGTTTGCAGGGGCAGTTTTAATTCATTTCGTAAAAGCCATTGCTGTGATGGGGGTGAGGCAGGGCATGAGAGTTTTTGCAAGCAGTAGGAGGGCTTGTTGCCTCTGAGCTTTATTCCACCTGTGTCAGTTATGGGAGTGAATGCAAATTTTCCTGTAAGCTTTGCATCAGTATAAGGTCAGTGTGAGCTATAATGGCAAAAGCTGAGCTTTCAGGAGCGCATCTTTCCAATCAGCCTTGCACTGACTTTCGTGAAAGGAAAGCTGTAGGGCTGGGGTGGTGTGTGGCTGTGTGTCCGTGTGTCTGTCCATCCGTCCTTGAGAGAAAGGTGCTCTGCTGCACCACCTGTGTGAATCTCTCTAGAGCAAAATTTATTGAATTGTGGTGTGTTTTTTTTTTCTTTCAAAGGTGCGCTGCCTCATCGTCTCCATTCTGCTTCAGCTCTTTCTCGAAGAAAACGGGAGAGGGGGAGCGCTCCGCAGGATGCCGGCAGCGTCGGGGCCCCGAGCCCGCGGAGCCGCGAACCCGCGCCTGGTGCTGAAGGAACAGCTCCGCTGCGCGCTGCGGAGCGGGGCCGTCCGCAGAGCCCCGAGGGCGCGGGGCATCCCGCGGCGTACGCCTCGCGCGACCCTGCGCCGCCGCCGCCCCCTCCCCACCGCGTTTCCCGCCCGTGGGGCAGCGCGCGCAGCGCGAGGCGGCGCGCGGGAAGGCGGCGGCAGAGCGCGGTGGGGGGCGGTGAGGCCCAGTTGCGCGCGCGCCACCTCCTCGGCGCTCCCTGCCGTCCCCTCCCCGCCTGGCCCCACCCCACGTGACCCGCGTGGGCCAATGGGCTGGCGGGGCGGCGGGGATCCGGCTGGAACCGGTTGGGCCGCGTCCGGCTCTATATAAAACTTTATAAACACCCGATTCAAATTAGTGGGGTCGGCAGCCAGCGCAGCGAGCCGGCCGCCAGCCCCGCCGCGCCGCCCCGCTCTCCCCCTCGGCCCTCCCCCGCTTCTCGCCGCCACCGAGCGAGCCCGGCCGCCCGCCCCCGCCCGCCCCCTCCGCTCGCTCTCTCCTCGCGCGACACACGCACGCGCCGCCCGGAGCTATGCCGAAGAGAAAGGTACGTGGCACCGCGGGGCCCGCGCCGAGGCCCGCTCCCCCCGCCGTCGTTTGGGGGGGGG